TTCACTCATTTAAGTTGTAAACATTGTTGTGATGGGTTGTGTTGATGTAATAATGCTGGTAACTGCATCAGCTTAATATCATGTGTAGTTTAAACTCGAGCCAACTTAATGAAATTGGCTTTATAACTTAATTTCTCTTCCCCTTAAGTCCCTTTTGTGTGTCTTAACATGCATGGGCTATTTCAGACTGGACATTTAACATGAATTGGATAGATGAGAATCCGCTATGTTGCCTGAACCATATTTCTTACATGAGTCTGAACTAACACGGATGTAAAAGGAAACTTCACCGGCTGGCGGAGGCGACTAACCGGTGATTCATGCTCTTCCAAATTTAACCAGCGTGGACCGGTACACGACATGTTAATAGAGAGCACGGAAACGTCAGCAGCTGCAGCGGCCTATCGGCTCGTTTTCTGTACCTCAGAATCTGTCCCGGCTCCGTCTGCGGCTGTCATCTCGCCGCTCTTTCATTTTCTTTCTCCCACACTTTGCTCTCACATGACCCACCGAGTCTCTTTATTCCCTTCATCTTCTTTTTTTTCTCACCTCCCATCTCGCTGCCTGTCTACACAACACACTGATTTCTTTCCTTTCCACCTCCCTATGTTCTCTCTCTATCTCTGTTTTTTTTTTTTTCTCTCAGTCCCAGCACGGCACATCTTCATACAATTACTCTCCATTAAAAATGGATTAGATTTCACCTTCACAGTCAGTCTACAGAGAGAGGGCAGGAGGGAGGGAGGGAGGGAGAAGACAGACAGAAACAGGGAGGAGGGCTTTGAGAAACCAGGATAGAGATGGATGGAGCGATGGGACGGATAGGGAGTGGTGGACGAGGAAGGGAGAGTCGAGGAAGAAATGAGCAGATAGAGTGTGGTCGTCTTGTAGGTTCACATTTGTTCTCAAAGCAGTCAGAAGAAGCAGCAGCTCACCCTTTTGGACTTTTCACACTCGTCACCAATAGAAGACTGCGTGAACCAGCCGTCACACATTTGTCCAGTCACAGAGAAGTGGCTTCGATTCAAGAACAAACTGACCGCTCAGAGAAATGCATCAACTGTCAACTCACTGATGTTGATCACCGCATGTAAAAAAAAACAAAA